ATATGAATTTTCAAATTTTTGTACAAAGCAAACCTGTTCAAAAAACAGATGCTGTTAAATATCTTGGTATACATTTTCAAAATAACTTATCTTGGAAGAATCACATCAAGTAATCAAAAGTAAGAATTTCAAATGCTACAAAAATTTATTGCTCAAATTTACAATCATTACAAAATAGAGCTTTGAAACTAGTATCAATAAAGTTGGATCAAACCAATAGTTTGTAGTGTAGCACTTTTCCCTTTAACAAATGAATTGGATTTTTATCTTTCGAGTATTTTGAAATCTAAGATTTATGTCAACAAGTCCACGACCAACCACGAAAGAGGAAATTGAGCACTGTACCAACGAAATTCAGTCACATTTATGCAAAACAATCATGGAAAATTTCAACAAAAGAACACGTATGTGCCAGCAAAGTCGTGGAGACCATTTGTCTGATATGCTATTCTATATACATACTCGTAACTCTATACTGTATACTATAAAAATCTATAAAAATTCCCAATTTTTAATTATACCTGCATGTTTTCTATCAAAATTACTTCGTGCGTTAATTTTGGGACACCTTTTATTTCATTATTTTGAATGAATTATAAATGTTTATGGAGATTTGAGATGTTTCCAAAATAAAACGATAAAATACAAAATATATATTATACAGAAATTATTTTATTCATTTAAATAATAAAAAAATTAAATCAAAGGTAACAAAAATTGTAAATACTTAAAAAATATTTTTGATCTCACTTTTTTTATTAACTACTTAACATATTTACATAAAAAAATAAAATTTTGAATCCATTTATCTTAAAACTAGTAATATTTGATAGCAAAACATATTTCATCACATACAGCATCAATAAATTTAAATTAAAATTAAATTTTAAACAACAAATAAAATTATTTTATTACTTAGCGATTCTAGTACGAGTATTATTATACGTATAAGAACAGCTATTGGATAACGAAACATTTAAAAAGTCACATTGTTGCTAATTCAAAATTAGCTATTTTGAAAAATTTAAAAATTTGTGATTATCAAAAAATCAGTTTTTTTTCTATTTAAGTTATTTTGATAAATATTTATAAATGCAATAGTCTGAAAATGCCAGAAATAAATTGAAAGCGATGTTAATATAAAGCTCCAATTTAATGGTTAATAATTATTGTGTGAGTTAAGAAAAATAATTATATTTTTTAATGGCATGGTATTTACTGTTAACTTTTTGCATTTATAAAAATTCGAAAAAGCTTACAGTTTCGGGAATATAACGTACCAAAAACTCGAATTTTACAAATATCGAAAGGCGATAACTGGAAAGGTGATAAAGGTGGAAAAACATTCTTCTAATGAAAACAACTAGTTATTAGTGTCTAAAAGCTGATAAAATTTCAGTTTCTTAAACCTTTTGGTCTAGAAGAAAAACGAGATCAAAAAGTTGGAAAAGACGGCTTTCAGGTAACGGTTACTTTTAATGGCCATTCTGTTTTATTAAAGTTCAAATATGGCATACCACGATAGAAGAAGCAAGCCACTATTTTCCAACGTTTGCAAAATTTGGAAAATGCTTATGGTTTTACTGTCGTAAATAATTCAAAATGGCATTTTTAGGGGTTTTAGGAGCTATAACTTTTAGAGAAGGGAAGATGGGTAAAAATTTTCTTCTACGGAAATATGTTTCTATGTAAAGATCTATTTACGTACGAAATTTCAGCTTTCTTTCTTAAAGAGTTTAAAAGTTTTGTAAACCTGTTCACGGACGGACGGGCGGACAAAGTGAAACTAATAAACATTTTTGAAATTCGTTGGATTCTTCTACCGTGGCATACCAACTTAAACTTTAATAAAGTTGGGTCAAACCAAAAGTTTGTAATTTAGCACTTTTCCCTTCAACAAATGAAAATACCGCTTTGTATTACATTGTTAAAATTACTTTCATTTATATGCGAAACTATTTCAAGAGTTGCATACATTTAGGATGAACAGTTTATGCAGTCTTTGAAATAAAACAAAAAAAAAATCTAAAGAGGCCTTAATATAATGCTTTATTAATCTCTAAGAGCTGCTAAAATTTCAGGCCCTGCAACTTACGGTGTAGAAGCAAAAACAGATATCAAAAATTTAGAAAAAACAAACTTTAGATAACGGTAAATTTTGACGGCCATTTTATTTTTTTTAAGTTTAAGTATGGTATGCCGTATAATTTTAAAAGTGTTCATGGTTTTGCTGCAATAAATAGTTAAAAAATAACATTTTTAAGAATTTGAGGGGCTATAACTTTTAGAGAGGGGAAGATAGGTAAAAATTTTGTTCTACGAAAATTAATTTCTAGTAAACATCTATGTACATTTTAAATTTAAACTTTCTGTCCACGGACGGACAGACGAACGGATAAAGTAAAACTAATAAGCACTTTTTACAAAATTTTTTGAAGAAGTGCTAAAAAGGGAAAGTACCCGTTCAAATTTCTCTAATCTACCATCCATTATTTCCAAATTTCTTATATCGTTCTTTTTCTAAACCCTAAATAACTTTTATAAATAGTTCTTTTCGTGGGAAGAAAATTTTTTTGCACCTCTACCCCATTTCAAGTTATCGCCTTTCGAAATTTCTAAAATTCGAATTTTTTGCACCTTATATTTTCAAAACTGTAAACTTTTCCAAATTTCTATAAATACAGAAAGCTAACGGTAATTGTCACGTCATTAAAAAGTATAATTATTTTTGTTAACTCGCACAATTAACCCTTAGATTGGAGCTTTATGTTAACCCCTCTTGCAACTTTTTTTTGGCCATTGCTCATCTCAAAAGTATGCAATTTTAAAAATATATTTGCATATAAATGATAGTAATTTTAATATTGTAGTACATCGCTAGATTGTTTTTAAAAGCAGTATTTTCACTTATTGAAGGGATAAATTACAATCATTGGTTTGACACAACTTTATTTTTTTTACGTTACAAAGTTTTCCTAATCTTTTGGCGAAATTTTCCAGATTACCTTTGAAACCAATATGGTAACGCTGTATGAAGTATATACAGAAAACAACAAATTGAATAAGCGTAAGCAATTACACATTATTCATTCTTAACTTACTACATATTATTGTTATTATAATGTTATTTGAAATTTTCTGCAAACTAATGAATCGTAAATAATACACATGAAATAATGTTATACTGAAAGATGAGAACAGAGTAAACCTTTCTTTACATTTTTTATAATTTTTTTATTTTACATTGCAGAACTTTTCCCATAAAATGTTATTCATAAAAAAACATTTCATTGTTATTCACAAAAAACAGGATGATTCATTGGAGTTTTTTCAGGAAAAAAAATTGGTCAGTGGGGAGGGGGGACCCGGCGTCTAGGGCTAGTTTTGGAGGGTTATAAAATCGTAACAACAAAATTCTATCTGGCGAATATCAATTATAACTTCGAAGTTGTTGAAGCTATGGGAAAGTTGTGTTAGGAAAGTTTTTTGTCAATTAAATAATTTATCAGTTTGCCTGCAAAAGGGCACGCGTGTCGTGAAAGTTATGTATAGCAAAGTTATAGATGTAGATGTAGAATACATACAAAAAAAATTGCCGACTTTTTCAACATAACAAATTAGCACTTTTCGAAAATTTTTTGGTTTTTATATTCAAAATTTTGTGTTTGTGCAACTGTTACTTGAAAACAGTAAATCTGATACCAGCATACTGTTATGTAGGTCTATAAATTCAAGCCCATACGATTTTTTAAGACATGGGATAGTAGCTTGATTTCTTGATTTGAACATATTTGAACTTAGTGCGATTCGCGCTAGGAGTTTCTAGTAAATATATGTATATACATATAATAATACAATCCCTCTATGTTATAAATATGTATGCATGTACATATTATGATATATTCAAAATATTGTAGGATATTATATTGTTATTGTTGCGTTTCATATTTTTCCATATTTTTTAGCACTTTTCCAAAAAATTTTTTGAAAAAAAGTGCTTATTAGTTTCACTCTGTCCGTCCGTACGTCCGTGGACACTTTTTTGTTGACAAAACTTCTACACCCTTGAAGATAGAAAGCTGAAATTTAATACGTAGATAGATCTTTACTAGAAACTTATTTCCGTAGAACAAAATTTTTACCTATCTCCCCCCCTCTAGAAGTTATACTCCCCCAAAACCTTAAAAATGGCCTTTTTTAAATATTTGTTGCAATAAAACCATAAGCATTTTTGAAATTTTGCAAACGCAGAAAGGTAGCGGCTTGCTTCCCCTAGCGCGGTATATTATAGTTAGACTTTAGAAAAACAAAATGGCCGTTCAAATTTACCGTTGTCTAACGTCCTTTTTTCCAAATTTTTGATGTCGTTTTTCTTCTAGACCCCAGCATGTAGAAGCTTTAGGGGCGTTTAGACATTAACAAATATTTTATTTCGTTAGAAGAAAATTTTTTTCCATCTCCACCCCCTCTCAAGTTATCGCCTCTTGAAATTTGTAAAATTTGAATTTTTGGCACCTTATATTTCCGAAACCGCAAGCTTTTTCAAATTTTTATAAACCCAAAAAGTTAACGATAAATTCCATGACATTAAAAAATATAATTATTTTTCTTACCTCACGCAATTAACCCTTAAAATCGAGCATTAAGTTAACCCCTCTTTATATTAATTTTTGCTTTATTTCAAAGACTGCATATATGCATCATTCTTAATATATGCAATCCTAGAAAGAGTTTTGTATATGAATGAAAATAATTTTAATAGTGTGTTAGTTAAGTACGTACACTGTATTTAAAAGCATAATTTTCACTTGTTGAAGGGAAAAGTGCTACAATACAAACCATTGGTTTGACCCAACTCTATTCTTTTTTGCGCATATCTCTTATCATTGCACACTCAATATTTATGTATATATGTATGCTTTGTGTATATGCGATGCAAAGATAATTTTGGGCAATAAAAACATGTTGCTTTCATTTTAAATGATACACTAGTACTTTGTAAGCTGTTGAATTGTAAATATTATTGAAAAGGAAGAAAATAAAAAAATATATATATATTTACTATATATGTGTACATTTAAATCATAAAAATATTTTTTGTATATATTTTTTGAATCTCGTACGTGTTATTACACATCAATTTTTTGTTTGTAATTAATTTTGTAAAATTAATTAAAAAAAAAGTTCCGTTAACGTACCGCCACTTTCGTTGCCGCTGCCGCCTTTCATAACGTCGACCATTCGGCTGTCATCGTTTTCAAAAACGCTTTTTTTTGTTTTTACGACGAAAAAATCTCCTATTTTTTTTCCTGTTGCTTCGCTCCCTCCTCCCTATCCTACGTTCCTCCTCCCTAATTCTTGTTCATCTTTCAAAATTTTTCGACAAAACTCCAAAAACTGTTCTTTTCTGATCCTTTTCTGAAAAAAATTGTATAAAAAGATTTTTTTTCTTTTTTGTGCGGTAAATAAAAGTGGTATTAAACTTTTATTTTGTCTTTTTGTTTTTTTTTCCTAATTCAGTTTTTTAATACAAAATTTTGAATTTTTATTTTTTTCATTCAGACTTTTCCCCCATCTGTGTGTTCCATTCTTTTTGTGTTTTGTTATTTTCTTATAAATAAAAAGTAAATAAATAACAAAAGGGAAATTTCGTGAGCAACAGAACAGGAAACAAAAAAAATAGTAAACAAATAAACAAAAATATGTAAGTAGAAAAAATATTAATAAATTATAAAAAATAAATAAGGTGAAAATGGTGAAAAAAAGATTTTTTTTTTTTGAAAAATTATAAATAAAACTGTAAAAACATATAAAATATATTTGTATGCGGCCACGAGACAAAAAATGTCTTACAAGTCATAATTTTGTCGTAAGCGAAAATGAATTTTTTTTTTTTTCATATTATACTCACAGCAACCTGTAAAAAGGTTTATTTGTAGAAAAATCTTCAAAAAAAAAAAATTCAATAATAGAAGTTTTTCTCTACAAATTACAGGACGTAAAATAAGCAAAAATCAAATTTAGTGATAATTTTTTGAGTTTATAAATATTTTATTAAGGCCTTTAAATTTTTGAACTACAGATAATTTTTTCCTGTACTCGTATCTGCCTGTACTCTTAAAAATTTTTAAATGATTAATGATTCTAATTAAGGTTAATTTAAAAAACTGGGCAAAATTCTATAAGAAAAATTTTTTATTTTAAATTTCTTAAAATTTAATACGAAATGAGTTTTGTTTGAATGAGGAAATTGAAAAAAAAATTACAAAATGAAAAAAATTGGAGTTTTTCTAAAGTTCGAATACGCTTGTGTTTCCAAAAGAACATAAAATACACAAAAAAAAAAACAAGTTGATTTTAAGCTCTTTATCAATTTTTCAAAAAATTGTTTATTTCAAGCTTCTATATTCTAGATGACAAATGATTGGCACGTTCCAAATTTTCTATGACACGCATGGAATTAAATATTTTCATATTTTTTTTCTATTTATTCAAAAAATTTTATAAATTTTTAAAAAGAATTATTTTAGATTGTTTATCACTTGCATTTGTTTTAATAAAAGCCTAAATTTTTTACATAATGCAACTGTTGCTGTAGTAATACAGTAAATTTAAAGCTTCTTAGAAAATTCAATTATGGTTTTTCTTTATAGCACTTTTCCAGAAATTTTTTGAAAAAGAGTGCTTATAAGTTTCACTCTGTCCGTCCGTCCGTCTGTGGACATGTTTACAAATTTACAAAACTTCTACACTCTTAATTCTATCTATCTAGCTGAAATTTAATATGTACATAGATCTTTACTAGAAACTTACTTCCGTAAAACAAAATTTTTACCATTAGTTTGACCCAACTTTATTTTACCATGCACCTTCACTTTGGAGTGGAGTTTATAACATATATATATTCTTGCTCAGCATAAAATTTTACGTTGATTAAGATATGTCCCTCCGTCCGATCGTCCGATCGCACCATAACTCAAAAACAAATAATGCAATCGACACCAAACTTTCACAAGTTGTTGCTTTTTTGCCAGCGACGGCTACTATTGTAATTAGACCAATTCGGACAACGGGTTCGGGTAGCTACTATACAACTCAAACGAGATTTTTTAAATATTTCAAAAACTAATAGAGATATTAATATTAAATTTTGTAAAAGTGTGTCGAAGTTTGTTCTACATATATTCTCAAAATTTCAATGGAATAGCTGCACTGGTTTGGGTAGCTGCCATACAACTCCAAAAATTAATTTCAAATATATGGAAAAATAATAAAGCTAGATTAATGAAACTCTTGTAGTCGCGTGTCCAATTGCAGGTCAGATGGAACCTTGAAATTTTGGTGGAATGGCTTAACAGGTTCGGGTAGCCACAATAGAGTTCCAAAATTGAATTTAAATTATTCAAAAAAATAATAGAGTTAGATTAATGAAATTTGGCATCCGTGTGTCCAATTAAAAGTCAAATATATTTTGGAAGTTTTAGTGGAATGACTTAATAGTTTCGTGTAAGTCCCATACAACTCCAAAATAATATTTTAAATACTTGATAAAATATTAAAGCGAAATTCATGAAACTCGGCAGCCATGTGTCCAATTTCAGGTTAGATGTAACCTTGAAATTTTGGGGGAATTGCTTAACAAGTTCGGGTAACTACCATAGAGCTCAAAAAGCTAATTTAAAATATTTAAAAAAATAATAGAGTTACATTCATGAAATTTGGCGTCGTGTGTCCAATTATAGGTCACATATATCCTATATATTGAAGTTTTGTTGGAAATACTTGACAAGTTCGAATAGATACCATACAACTCCAAAAGAAAATTTTAAATATTTGCAAAAATATTAAAACTGCATTTATGAAACTTGGCAGTCTTGTGTCCACTTTTAAGTCAGATATAATTCTATCAGGACATTTCTAATGAATGGTTTAACAGGTTCGAGTAATTGTCATTTAAAAATGAAAGCCATTTCCAGATATTTCAAAAACAAATTTTTCAATTCAGATTGTCAAAGTGCAGGATATTATTCTGTCGGTTTATACCGAATGAAAAATTGTTTAATACTTAGGCCCTTATTTTGATCGGTGAAGCGAATGAAATTTTTGACGAATTTGAATTTTTGAATGATTAGCGAATTCGCCTAAATTTTAGGCGAATGAGCTGTCAAATCTGTTGAATAAAAATTCTGTGTGACAAGCTTGGTGAATGAAACTAAAAATCAAATTAATACATAAGTGCTTTTTTATTGGATATTATAGTATTTATAGTGATATAATGGAAAAATTTAAACTATTTATAAAGTACATTCATAAAATTCTACAAATTATTATAAAAAATACTGATTGTTTAATATTAACTTGAGCGTGAAAAAAAAAACAAACCAAAAACAATTCGGGCATTTAAATAAATTAATGGACAACAACCCGATAATTGCTAAAGGATAACAAAATTCAATTTTTTTTCCAAAAACCCAAAAAAATTGTACATATGTATGGTTTCCTGATGTCTTGTGGTAGCAACATTTTGGATCTGGCGAATGAAAGCATTCGTCGATGATAATTTAAAATATCATTCAATTCACATAGTCCATTCGACTCGCATAACCATTCGCTCGCCGATCATAATAAAGGGTATTACAATTTGTAAAATTGAACTGATAACATTTTTTTTTTTAAAATAATTTTTATCGAATAACAATTATTTGATACATACATATATATACATTATATAGCCAACTTTTTAAAATTTTTATTCTTACAAAGTTATTTTTAAATTTAATTCCCTCATAAAAACTTCCTCGGCACGTTGGCGTAACAAAATGTATAATTTTTAAAAATTATACATTTTGTGCTAAAAAGGTCTCACAAGTTTTGTCACCAGGGTTCTATATCTTCTTCAGAACCGGAGATTATGAGCAAAAAAATGACGAAGAGGGAGAAGTAGAAATTTCGTGAAAATTCTTTAAAATCTCTGTACCTCGGAAACTGTTGAGGTTTGATGTCTAGTCTGAACAAAAATTATTCACATTTTTGATGCTCTAAATGATGGTATACAATATGTCACTGATAACTGAATCAACCTGTGTATATATATGCATATACATAAATAATAGTCTATAGATAATTTATGTCGATTGATAAATTACAACATAGGGTTCTTCACACACATAACCATGATCCAGTCATCCATTTGCACATATATAGATAAGAAATTCGTAACCAAAAAGAAGATATATATGTATATTTCGTAAAAGATAAAAGTAAGGAAAAAACTCAAATTATTAAATTTTAAAAATTAATTGAATTATATATGTATATAACTTCGTTGAAAGAAAAAATATAAAACAAATAAGATATTTAAGGAAAACAAAAGAAAATTTTATTTATTATCCTTATCTAACAAAAAATTCTGCATCATTTTACAGTCAGTGGTGGAAATTCTACACTCAGTGGTGGAAATATAAAAATATAGTCGAACCACATTTTTTTTTTAATGCCATTATAATATTTTGCATTCGTTTTGGAGAAATTTAAAGTCATTTTGAAAAACATTCCTTTACTTTCAAAATACAATAACACAGTACTAATACATATTTTAGCTTACAAGTGTGAATTGCTGAATTGTGTATTAATACCATATTACTGCATTTTGAAAGTCAAGGCTTGTCTACTGGCATACAATTTTCTATAACTGTTTAATTTAATTTACATATACCTAAATGCTATGTATATAAGAACAAAATATTGTTTTCGTTAAATTCAGTTCTAGAATAGTTTAACTTTTAACAATTAAATTTGTACGCGCTGTATACGCATGGAAAAAATATGTAGATTGTTCAGAAATTACTCGTTGTGATAAAGTGCTTAGTCGGTAGTTCACTCTGCGGTGTTAGATAAAGAAAGTTCAGACATATAACGCAAATCTCTAATAACTACATGTTTTTTTTAATTGAAATTTTAAAATTTCCAAATTTTAATTTTCATAACATTTGTCAGTTATATGTCATTTTTCGAACGACTGATGAGATTGTAATATAGAAGCTTCACAGTTTGTATAGACTGCGAATATAAACATAAAAAATTTAGATGAAGAAGCTTAAAATTAAGAAACTTAATTGAAAAATTTTTACTTATAAGTATATTAGCTTAGAAATCTAATATGTAAAAGTTTAAAATGTAGAATATGTGGAATGTAGATGTACGTAACCGAAGACTCCCATTGTTACACATTTTATCTTCATAGAAATTTAATTAAAATTCTTAGTGTCGAGAAATTTAAAGGGAGGTAAACATTTTAATATTTCAAAAAGAGCGAAGAAGAGATTCTATAAACTGTTATAAAATTGAAATTTATCTGAGTTGTCGTGTTGTAAAAACAAAATTCCTTAAAAGTAATTAATAATTTCTCATCATTTCAAGAAATGATGAGAAATTATAGGATGAATTCATTTTTTATATAACGAATTAAGATCTCGTGCCTTGTTTATATTTTAATGATTATTATTTTGAAATTAATTTTCTTATATGTCATATAGAAGACACAAAAATTAATAAAATATAATTTATATTGAAAATGCTAAGCTTCCAAAAAGCAATTGTTCAATTCAGTAATTCACACTTATAAACTGTGTATTAATACCGTTTACTGTATTTTGAAAGTCAAGAAAAAAAAGTCAACTCTGTGATAACCGTACGAAATTGCGA